CCTTTATTAAGCATTTCATGAATGTAATTGTAATCGTTAAAACTGTAGGAGGGCCGTCAATATTTAATTGACGTATAGGGAAATTGTCGGTTACCGTTCTGCGAGGATTACAATCTAATCTTTGACGTTTATTTAGGTCTGCACGTTGCGGAAATTATTTCAACGTATTCCTTGGGGAAAATGCTAAGGAAAGCTTTTTAGCACTTGCCGTTTTATGGGCGTTCGGAAACTGCGTCTCTTAGTGTTCGAACCTTGGAGTGTAATGAATAATGTCTGTTCGGACCCTAGTACATTCGACTTTTCCATACTTCTCGCGACGTAAATAATAAATTATTCAATATTTTTATGTACATAGCATGTGTTTTGGAAACTAGAAATCCGAATCTTTTTGTTCGTTTAAGTGATTTGTACCTCATAGCTCTGTCTTAATATGCTAAATCTTTATCGGAATCTGAACGGCGTCTCAGGTGTTCGGCCACTGGTACACTTACCTTAATTATTTCTAGACTGAAATTAAGCGTTTCGACTTTTCTCTCCCAACATTTGCATCCGTCTTTTCTTTCTCGGCCCTGATGGCGATTTCCCCTTCCGGCGCCGAAGCCGCTGCGGAAATCGCGTGGCACCTCGAGTCATAAACGCAGGTATTCTTGCCAACGCGGTGAAAAGGTACAAAAATAACAAGAATAGAATCGGAGACTGGACAAATATAGACTTTTAGCATTAATTTTATGGTTAGAGTAGAGCGATGCAGGGCGACCCGTGGTTATTAATTTCTACTCTCTCTCTCTTTCTCTCGATCCATCGATCGGCGCGACGAGAATCCCGATTCGCTTCGAAGGATCCACCTCGAACGAATCATCCCTATCAATATCGCGCCGATATATTAGAAGTGTTCTTTCAGGCCTCGTGATTTGCTCTGTAATTAACATAGGTCGCGCGTCCGCGAAAAGCCGGGAGGGCGAAATCGAATTTTCGGCGCTTTTTGGCGTCTCCTACTCCGAAGTTAATGCAATTGACCGTCTTGGACAGCATTCGAAATTAGAGGAAATTGTCCCCAAAGCCAATTTAGTCGATCGATATTAATACTGACCTGTAACTTAAGGCATTTCCTCTTGATTAAAAAATGTTACGTCTGGAAAAATGACAATACTATTATAAAACATGCCCTTGAACGAACGTTTAACATTATTAATAATTGTTAAGGAACCCGTGCTCCTTGCATCTTACTTGAAGCTTTCTTTATCTTTTAGAAGAGTCTCCTAAATCCTTTCCGCAAAAATAATTGATCCATCGAACAAAATAATCTGATCGACTGCACTTGGTTTAATAAAAAAAACATTTCAGTTGAGTGAATCGAATGTCGGTTCACTTGATAAAACTCTGTATCCCCAATCTACTGGAGGGTTTTGATTAAACCACTTTAACAATTTTAGGAAATACTTCAATCAAGTAGACAAATATTTTGGTTAATTGCAGCAAAGTACTTTAATGTTCGGAGTTAGTTACCCAATACTTGATGTAACCGACCGAAATTTATCAACCAAAAAGTATTGTCATGCCAGCCAAATATTTGATTGTCCATACAACCATATTCTACAATAGAACCAACAATAAATGTGCTGACAACTAAATTTCTTTCCGCGTAGTGTTTTATTCCTCCACGTTGCACGATGCATCATACATGCCTGTACATGTAGAGAGCATTATGAAATAATGAAAAAAAGAAAAAAAAAAGAAATAGTAGCACAAGATATAAAGGCAGAGGAATTAAAATGAATTTATCATCTCGAAAAGTCGTAATGGGAATTGGACCAGAAATTCGAGTGCTCATCCCGGCTCTCCGTTTAACGCTTACCTTTAATAGCGATAGAATCTCTCACGATCTCATTAACAAACGGTTTAATCGTTAACGTAACGCGACGCAAAGCGCCGCGGCGTCTCGCGTCTCTCTCTCGTAACGAGCTCACGAATCGAAGTAGATATCACATTGTTATCGACAATCAACTGCACAGCAGAGGTAACAAACTGAATACTCGAAGAAACTGGAAAATCCGAAAGGCTCGTAGCGATTTAAGAGGCCCGCTTTTTCGGCGCTCTCGCAGCACTTAGCACTATCGATCTCGTCGTTCGACACGTACGTGGATAGTCAATGATAAGTCGATTTACACCTATGCAGGTACGCAACGCCGCGTAACACGTAAGCACGCAAAAATTCGTAAATTCACGTGGGCCACAGCCTAGTGAGTGCAGCTAATACGACAATAAAGGTCACGTAGGATTAAATGTTTGGTCCGTGGAGCGTTTCTTTAACATTAATAATATCGATTAGCGTACCTATCGGCTAAAGGTCGAACACTGGACAGCGTGAGGTATGCAAAATGTAAAGTCGTCAAGTGTACTCGTTTAAATTACCCTAGTGACGATCCGACTCGCGGCACCGTCAGTGATCGACCCGACTTCGATGAATCGAGGTATAAAACCGACAGAAAATCGTATAACGCGGGTTTATCGGACCGCACGCGTCAACATGCGGAAATATCCGGGCCGCGTTTCACTAGCAAGAATTCATTAAATCGAAAAAACATGGGAACCCTGGAGCGAAGGTATTAATTTATGAAAGAATTTTCGCGCGCGCACTTGCGTCGACAGTTTAATTTCGATTAATCCACGGTTAGCTAGGGGGAATTTCAGAGAAACTCGAGAGGACGAATGTGCCGGCAATGAGGAATTCCCTTTTTCTCTCATTTTCTTTCGATCAGGAAAAGGGAGATCCGTCCCGACGAGGCCGCGAGCCGAACCGCTCTAACGCACCTTACGAACTCGTAATTCCGTCCAATCGTTGCGAATTAGGTCTCGCGTCTTAATTTGAGGGGGGGATAAATTTTCCGCGGGCTCCCGTCTACGCAATATTCGTTGTGTGGATTTACGACGACCTAGTTTTAATAAGTAGGTAACCCTCCGCGTGAGTTTTCGAAAAAACGTAAAGGCTGATCCGGAATGGGACCAGCCGCGACTTTTTCCGCGAGCGCGCCGCCAAAGAAACGGACTTTGTAGTACATACGAGGCATGATCTCTAGGAATTCAGACGAAATTGCAAGTATTATGGCATTGGTCTACTTATATGATTAATTACATATTTATAACGAGCAATTTTTACAGTCGAAGTCCTCGCTCTGAATTGCAGAAGGTTCGAAAATGACGATTAACGTCTCAGCGAAGTCGCCGACTCGCTGCCTCGTCCTCTCTCTCTCTTTCTATCTCTCCTGGCAGTGTTTCGAGTAAGAATATTGCGTGTGCTATCACTGCTCTTATCAGGGACTTCGCATCCTACCAGGCCCTCCTATTTCGAATATCTCTCGAGCGACGAAAACCCCGAAAAGGGACACCCCGAGACCCACTGCAAGAACGGAGCAGGGACCTCGTTGGATGGACGTAGTAGTGTATAAAATGTATATATTTATGTTTATATGTATAGACTTTAGCGTTAACCTTCAAAGACTCGTCTAACGAAGTAACGTAGCGTATACAGAGAGCGTATGCAATATTAATGCTGCCTCATTAAGTGACACTCCCTCTAGAGTCCTACTTCATCGAGCGATACCGGTGCGTGGAAAAGCATGCTCGTCGAGGCCGCTTCTCGGCCCCGGTGCTCGCAGGATTTTCCCGAAATCGGGAAAACGGGTTCTAAAACGCGCGGCCAAGTGTCCGGACCTATTCCGGGGGGCCGCGGAATTTTTTGCGGAATTTTTTCGAGACCCTACGGCTTCGAGTTTCCGTTCACGAGTCGCGGTTCCCTCGCACTTCCGGAAGTCGGACGTGCCACGTACTCGCGGATCTCGTTGCCAATTGACAAACGGAGGTACCGGCTGATCAACGAAAAATACTGCGTCCCATCTACTGAGTTTTTGGCAGTCAGTTTCCGATGAGATCTGGAGGTAACGTATTGCGCATTGACAGTCCCTTGGCTCGCGACTCGCGTGGTGTGTGTGGGTATCGGTGTGAATAGCACCTTCAAGGTAAAACTCTCTTCATGAGACACCTGGGAAGGGAAAAACTCCATGTCGAGCAGAGTCTCCGAGACTCGGAACGGTGCAGAAGTCTAGGACCACGTGTTCGAATCCGTCCGCTCTCTCAACCCTTTCGCTACTAAAGACGCCTAAAGACGTCCGACGTTTGGTTCAATATTGCCTGCACGCGTGATGAATTTCGCCCATATGTCGAAAGGGCTCAGGGGGTTAAAAGCTTCGAAGCACCGACACCCACACACTGACTACGTAGGCGATCGCTTCGCACCCAATTAGACTTTAGACTAACTAACGACTGTGTCGCGTTGTCACGGTCAATTCTCCCGACTTAGCGGATCAGATTGGTCTGCGATATTGCTAGATACTCGATTCGGTAAAAACGGCACGCGGCTTCTTGCTCAACCCGTAATCGCGGCTCTAACGATAGTAGTAATAGGAGTAATAGTTGCGCCATTAGTAGTAGCTCTCGTAGTAGCGGTAGTATATAGTAGTACGGTAGTAGCGGTAGCGGTAGCGGTAGCGCTCCTAAAGTACGAGCTACGAAGGATCAATTACTCGACTCGAAAACGTAAAGATTGACGGCGTCCCGAAAGCGCCACCGCGTTACTTTCAGATTCCTTACGAAGTAAGTACGTGTTATCGTTATCCCCGTGATTCATCGGTCCTCTTTCCGTAAGGCCGCAAGATGGCCGCGTCGATCGGCTCGTCCGGTCTCATCGACGTCAAAAGTCGCGGCTCCGATCAGGACCCGATGGATCCCTTATCGCTAATTCGCGACGCGATCTGCACGATAGATCCGATTCGCTGATTAGTCTAAACCCAAACCCCCCCTGCGAGTCCTGGTCACGTCTTCGTCCTCCACCCGTTTCGGCTCCAGGATGCCAGGACGTGGTGGACGCGTCCTTGGAGCCGAGGCGTCGGATAGGAGTGGCTAAACGACTCGCTCGGCGACCACGAGCTATCGTCCTTTTGGGGTACCCTTCGAGTCCTGGTGATTCGGGATGTCGGATCCTGCTCCAGGGTCGGGAAAAGGGAATCCTGGATCGTCGAACGGAGCCTCTCTCGGCGGTGGATCGCCTCCGGAGAGCTTGCTACCGGAATCGCTTTGGATAACCCCGGTGGGGTCTACGTGGCTCCCTTGTAGTGGATGAAGAAGAAGGTCAGGAACACGAAGTAGGCAGCCGGGAACGTGATTCTTGCTATCACGTCGATGGTCTTCGCTACTCTGATGGGGTGTGGCGGCTCTTTTTTCCGTACCTGCACAAAGCAGCACTACTCAGGGTCATTATGGGGTTATCGCACACATGCTGTACACCCAATGCACTATCCGACTCAAAGCGATCTTTACGGATAGGTCCACATAGTCTCTACTTGAAACCGAATTCTCCTTGGATGGCACTACTTGGGCAAGAGCGAAGTGACCGAAGCGTACACCAGGGACGGACGTTACATGCGCGGTCGTCAAGGGACACATTTTTAGAGATGATACACATATGCCGACATTGTGCCGTTTCTGGATCTGGACAGTTGCGATCAACACTTATCTCCGCGTTCCTCCTCGGGTACAGAGAATTCCGTTCCACACAAATGGGGCTTCCACTCTACGGAGTAACACGTGAAAGATGCGTTTCACATGCGTTCCGAATGAATACGTAACACATCCGAACCGCTAACGATTTGTACATCATTCCACCGAGTTCGGGTGATCTTTCTTACCAATACGATAAGAACGCGAAAGGTCCCTTCCGTCTCGAATTTTCAACGTTTCCCTGATAACGGTGCAAGGCACTTCATCGCCTATAAACGTTCCTAAAGAGGTTACTCTCGATTACCGAATTGGTAAGACTCCCGCAACTTTGCATGTACCGGGCCTGTGGACAACTCTAAACACCGTTGACACTGTACGGATAACAGGGAACTGGGCGTGAAAAATAATTAAACAGAAATCGTCTAAACTCTGATGTCGATACGCACCTCAGGAGAGTCGATACACAGTCCCCTCTTTCCATCAATCTAGTCGGGATTTCAGAAAGGATTCAAAGTGACTTTTATATATTAACAAGGGAAAATTATATACGGGCACTCGACCGAATTTTCGTCAATTCCCGTATCAGTTGGGGGACAGTTAATGGTCAGAGATACATACCTCGGCGGCGCATCCGTTGGTGGCCGTGTGCGTGCAAGGATTGGGCCCGCAATTGGTACAGGTCACTATCTCGTTCGGTCCAGGACCTCCTCCAGCGGCAGCTCCACCTTCTCGCTTCTTTTTACCCTGCGACAGGGTCTCCGTAGCAGAAACTTATATCCAGAACCTCGATGAGCGATACACCCACTCGAGTCGCCAGACCTCTCGACCTCTCGACGATTTCGATCTAATTGACCAATTAAACTCGATCGGGACGACCCTTTATTTCCCCGATTTTCCCGTTCAACCGACCGCTTTATCCACATCACGATTTATTAACCCCGGAGTGGCTTACATTTTATTCACCAAACGTGAATAAATCCACTCTTAAGACCGTTTGCCCCAGCTGTGATTAATAATAACAATGAATTTCTTAAATATGATCGATCAATCTCGGATTAGAAGAAATAAAATGGCGGCAAATTAAAATTCCCTGTTGAATAACTATCTTAAATCGGACGAGGGACTTTGATTACGTGTCGAGTAATCCTTGATTGAGGATTTTATCTCCAATGGTGGTGCAATCGATTATTATTAATGGTGGTCCATATTTATTGAGAAATCGAGTCGAGGATCTATCTGGACCCGTGGGTGGATCGCTCATTTCCAATCGGCAATACGTATTCCTGTAACCATATTCGTGCCTTTACATATCGTTTACGAGTTACATGCTGTTTTCTTTCTACACTGGGAGACTGTCGCACATCGGATCGATCATGAAATACTCGAGTCGCATTTTAAGACAACGCGATCCTCCTCTTGCGTCGCTCCGCAACGGCGGGCGTTTATCCTTCCGTCGTCTCGCATAAACGTTGCCTATGTTCATGACCCCGGTATACAGCTTGGTAAATCGCCTTACCGATTCCCCGTAAACGCGGGATAAATATCCGTGTGCACGTGTCGCCAACATGGCCGTAATATCTCCATGGGAGACCCTCTCCCGGAGTAATTCCAACAATTTCCCCTGAAATTATGCGAGGGCTGCGGTCGAACCAACGACCGGTTAACTCGTCAGGATCATCGGAAAGCAGTGAGTCGTAAAGGTGTGAATCCTTATACCGCGAGGATCGCGACGAGAAATCAGAGTATGACTCCTGAGGGTAATGCATCAATGAGCTCAGTACGACGTTTCCTCGTGAAAATAGTCAGATTTTCACGGGGACCGCGAAGTTTCGACCTTCACAGCGTGATTTCCTGATTTAATTCCTGGTAATTTGTCAAAGGGATTGCCAAGGACCGAGTAAAGACGTCCAAGATCGATAATGAGCTCATCATTGACTGCAAAGCAATCTTCGGCGACCCGATCGAAGCATGTCTCGAGTTGAAGCCGAAAATGGTCTTTGATTTTTCTACGCCTGATGTAGGTCGCGATGAAAGCGATAGCTCGAGTGAAGTGATTAGACACCTGCCAGGAGCCAATTACCGATTCTACCGAATTTCTATTGTGATCCAAATGCGGTCTATGAAACGATGCGCCAATTTATGAACACCGAGAGGCTCGACTGTCGCGCGAGGAGAACGCAACGGAGAGACGTCCCGTTTAGATCGTATCTTTATTAATTTTCTCATTTAATAGTTGATGATCATTTCATGATGAAAGCTGTGCGGGACATGAAACGAACGCCAGGAAGCAACTGCGCGTGGCAAGCGATGGGGACCGGTGAACATGCCATGGCAAACATTTACGTCTACGCACTTTTAAGTCTCATCTATGCGGACAAAAAAGAGCCTTTTGTACAGCCGAACGCGACACGGATTTCCCGAGGAGTACGGAGAGAAATACCTTGGCTTTATTTTCTACGATTCAATCATTTCGGATCATTTTCTACCCAGAATTATCGGGAAAATTGGCGAAAATACAGGAAATTTACGGAAGAAATTAAACTACGCTTCTTGGTTGCAACGTCGATATCAAATGATAAGGGCTAATGTTAAGCGAATATATTACAGATAAAGGGTGAAAAGTTAGAAGGAGATCCAAGTAGGTATTTCCCTCCAGTCGCGAAAGCGAGATTAGGGCCTGAATATAAAATGTCGCATACATAGCCAGGGAATCATTCGCAGATCATGCGAGAGGATCTACGTAGTCACGAGTGGATTCACAAGATTCGTCACCCTCGGTTACCTCGTTGATATGGAAATGTAGAGGAACGGAAATGCGTAACCTGGTTGCATTTTACTTTGCCATTGCTCGTTATCTAGGCTCCCCTCGAGAGATCGAGGGGAAATCTTGCAAACCCAGAGTGAATCGCGAAAGAAATGGAGTACGAGTGAAGAAGCGCCTACACTGCGAGTCGATGATGCTAACACCGACGAACATGCTCTGGGTGCACGAGAAATAAATTAATGAACCGAGGGCTTAGGGCCCGCTCGAGTAACGAGAACAAGTACAGTGAGCAGGACGCGATTTTTTAACTTGGGGCCCATTTCTTCTCCAGGAGTCTCAAGTCCTCCGCGAAGTCCTCCACTTTCGTTCTTTTGGACTGATTTTGAAGTTACTTTTATTTTTATTTTTTATTCGTCGCGATTGTAGTTGGATTTGAACGAATTACATTGACGGCATCGTGCGCAGGCAAATAGGCTCCGAGTCAGAACCGCGCCCTAAGGTGAAGGGGGATCTTACCAAGGGGCTGGCCAATATAATCCCTATCCTGCTGAGCACCGCTGGAAGCCGCTGCAACATCACAGACACCAAACAAAGAGACTTACTCACCAACATTCCATCCAACCAAACTTACTAATCGATTTTCGCGCTTTTCTCGCGGGCCCGGTATTTATTTTTCAGGACACCTCCACCAGGTGGGGTAGGTCCGGGTGCTGCGCCCGCGCAGGGAGCTCCAAGCCTAACTTACTATAGGAACGGCTACTAGAGAAATTGGCTAGAAAAATTCACTAGAGACTCGACAAGCGACTCGGAATGTAGTGACTCGATTCGTAATTAGTACTAGGAGGTAAAATCGATGCAGCCACGAGGACGTCCTCGACGAGCTAGTTCCGATTCCGCCATGTGTGCGCGAATCGACTTCGACTCGCTCTATGAGTATACTTTTCCTTTTCTACGACGCGTTCTCGATATCGGCGTGCTCTTCGCGAAAGGTGTAAGTGGGGCAGAAATAATAATCCCATGGGTCGTAACAATGGACGCCTCGTTCGATGCCACGCACAATTTTATATACGTAATCGCGTATGTTTGAACATTTTTTCAAGATAAAGATATAACGTGCAAATTTGTGGGCCCTCGTGGAAAGTCTCGGATTTATATCACTGCGAGAAAACGAACCAAGGAGAATCTGACTAGAAAACTTGCAAACGACTCAGGAATTAAAGGACACATTTCCAAAGAGATAGAGCACGCTTTCCTCACGGGGAAAATCGCGAAATCATAAATGACAACGGAACCGCATTTTATCAGAACTCCGACACCAATTTCTTTCTTTTCACGATAACCGAAAATGTCACAAGCTATGCTTAACACATTCCCATCAAGTCCACGGGTCGTCGATCAAAATCGTACTAATCATAACTGATAGCCGTACTTTGATATCGATGTGTCTTAATTTGAAAACGTCAGGAGCTTCACAGAAAAACAGAAAAGGGATGTATTGATAATTTTTGACTTGACTAGGAGTGTTATCGCGATTGTTTCACGGGAATTTCTGGAAATTTCAACGTGTCATCGATCAAAATTGTACAAATCATAATTAATAACCGCATTTCGATATCGACGTGTCTTCACTTCAAAACGTCAGGATCTTCACAGAAAAAAAGAAATGGGATGTAATGATAATTTTTAATTTGGCTAGGAGTGTTATCAATTTTTTTTTTTCACGCGGATTTTGTGGAAATTCAACGTCATGAGGCACTCACGGAAAGCTACTTTTCAAAGAGTGTCGGGATTAATCCTCGAAGGACAAAATCAGTGCAGCCACGAGGGCGTCCTCGACAGGTTCGTCCCGATTGTGTTAGGCGTGTGCACGCACGCGTCACGTCGCTACCGTCGTGAATCTCTCTGTGACGCACGCGTGACACACGGCACCCTCGCGTCGATATAATTATGGCCGCTCGACCTGGAAAAACTCTTCTTTTGCGACATTTGCGACCATCGAACGAGCTCAGCAGCGTCATGGGACGGGGAAAGACAAAAGCGATACTCTCGGCGGTTCCTTTGATCTTCCTGGACGCACGTCTCTGCCAGGAAGCTGTTAAAGACGTGCTTTACGGGCTTTGTGTCGTACAAATTGTCGATAATCATTGGTGGATATCTTTCAAGAAAAACCGACTCTGCTAATTATCCCAAGTAGCTTTGCGTGGAACATCACATACGTACAGAACCATAATTTATATAGCGTCTCTCTCCTGACCCCTGCTCAATTTATTTTTATTTTGCAAAATTACTAGCGCGTTATAATACGTAAGAAATAGTGAATAGACTACAGGAATTTCGACAGATGTAAGGGAGCATGTAATTGCCCATCCTCTATCACTCCTAGTAATTAATTAAAAATAAAATAGTACTTACAGGTCGTGCAGTAGATTAGGGATATTGTTAGAGATTTATCCGGGCCGATATTTCTCACGGTGTTGTATTCGTTATGAAATAATAATTATTAGAGTAATTGTGGATATTCCTAATTTTGAATCGTCACGAGGTCGTTCGATAAAGATCGCAAATTATGCACAGCTTCCCGATCTCCTCTCGACCATTCAGCAGTGCCCATTCAACTCTTCCAAACCCACACCAGTGGCCACGAATTTCGAGCCCCGTCGCAATACTATACTATATCCGACAGTACTATAAATGGACATCGATGCACAGGCAATGCCGATCGGAGCCGATCGCGTTGATCTCTCTTTGGACTGGTCAAACATGCAACATAAACACGTAACTTCCGGCTGAGCGATGCCTTGCGCGTAGCAGTGATCAAAGAAGTATAGTAGAGTATAGTTTAGTATAGTACAGGACACAGTACAGTACAGTATATAGTATGACTTGTAACTCGTAGCATCTGACTACGGTATACTGTAAGTAGCGATAGTAAGTGGCAGAAAGTATCTGACAAAAGATCAAGAAGATAGAGAAATTGAAAGAGGTCAAGGGACAGGGGGAGAAGGAGGGGCCGGAAAATCGGGGAGAATTCAGAAGTAGAAAGAGCGACATATGTATATCCTAAATATCTATCTAATCAACGTCTGATATACCTACGTATATCCCAAATATCTATCTAATCAACGTCCGACATACGTATATATATATATATATAGAGAGAGAGAGAGAGAGAAAGAGATAAATCAAATGTTAGGCACATGCGGAAGATCTCTTTCGAGGTCGATTTGAGGATTCTCTTTTAGGGTCGCGACGCGATTCTTCGTCGGGACGTCCTCGGGGGCCAAGAGCTGGTCCACGGTTTTGGAAATTAAGTAATGGAACGCCAGTTTTTCTTTTTTTTTCGCATGGGAGGAAGGTCAACCAAACGTACGTAGAAGAAATCTTTGGAGATGCTGCGATCGTTAAGTGATAAACCATACGTGTTTGTGCGTCACGCCAACAAAGTCACAGGTGCTGCAGCGACGTGCAAACGCGACTAAGTAAAGGTAATGCTCCTGTAAGTAGTGATGGTCGCCGTACGGTCAGTCGACCCTGCAAATGATTCTACCGGGTACGTTCCTTTCGCCGTTTTTTTTTGCACCAGGACGACACCTTAAGGGGATGTGAAAGTACCTAAAGAGTCAATCGGTCATGAAACTTTTCTCCGACCTGGATGTGCTGAACAGTTTCAAACTTTACAACGTGAATATGGAGGATACAAGGAAGGTCCTGACCCTCGTGAAATTTCATGTTTTTAACAAATTTTAAAAATATCTACGAACAAATTAAAAAGAAATTGAAATTTCATGAGTTTCAGGATCTTCTTTATACCGTCCATATTTAAATGATAAAGTTTGAATCGATTCAGTGGGCCCAGGTTGGAGAAAAGTTTCATGAACGAGAACTCTTTGACGCCAATTTCATATCATCTTAAGCTTCGTATAGCTCGCTGGACTTGGATTTAAGGGTTCTCCGTTATCTCTAGTTTTTATACAATCTAGTCCAGGGCACGTCGACTGATCAAGGGTGCGTTTTTATGTGAGAAAACTAACCAAAGTTGGTACTGGCTCTGGGGATCGAGATCTTCAACGGAGAATGAGAATTTTGGCTGCTTTGATCGTGCCACCTTATGAGGGAATGGGTACTGATGAGATACTTAATCGCGTTCGCACCACAGAGAATTACGGGGCACAAATGAAACGTGGTATGAAAAGCGAGCGTCGGTTTTCACCGTTTTACCTGATCATCTTTCAGAGTTTTGGATTTTCACGGATCCGTAGGTGTCGCGCGACCCGTCTCGCGACCGTCGCCCTGAAAACGGGCCTTTTCTGCGGAAGCTCGTCGGGAAAGCGAGAGTTCCGTGGTTTAGAATGGTCAGAAACGGTTGAAATTAATTTACGATCCTTTTCCGCGACTCGTCTTTTGCGGAAAACCTACGAAAACGGTCGCGGTCGCTGTGCGCGATTTCTAACTCATTTCCACGACGTCGAGCAAACGATTGGGACATCTTTGCTGCAGTCGCGTAAAATCAAGCTATTAACTGTATGCCATGATTAACTTTCGACACCTTTTGTCTTTCTCTCTTGCAGTCAAACGAACGGAACGTATCGATGGATTTTCAAAGGCCTCTCTTGCGCGGATTCTCGTCTCATATAAGGACAAACATTTCTCTGCAAATTCACAACGTGATTCTATAAAGGCACATTTTTAAGTAAAATTCAATGTATATTTGTGTTATTAAACATGTGCAAATTATCAGATGTTACTTGTCACTTCATTCGCCCGATTGGCCAATTTTATCGCCTTGGAAATTGGGGCTGCCTAATTTATAAGTCGGGCCGGTTTTGCTGTTGGTTCTTTGCGACGATCTTTATCGATAATCGGTTTTGCGTGGTTGATTTTGCTATTTGGGAGTTTCCGCATAGGAGAGACCTCGAAGACGGTCCTTAAAGTAGAAGGCTGATAAGGCCTACGACTAGTTGGCAAAGTACCTGGGTGACGGGATTCTCGCCAGGGCGGTACACGACGTTGTGCAGAGGTCGTTTTCTGCCGACATAGTTGACGCACACGAACTCGAGGAGGCTGGCATAGATGAAGCACATGCAGACTCCGTCCCAAACGTTCATGGCCGTCAAATTCGAGACGACCGGAAGCGTCGATCGAAAGCCATTCGAGGTCGTGAAGAAGTTGAGCATCGTCGTCACGCCTGTAAGAACGCAACCAGCCATGAGCCCGATTTTACCTAAATTGAAAATTCCGACGAGCAGGTGCCAATACCTACTCTCGTTGAAATTTGAAACATGTTGAAGCAAATGTAGAAAAAAAAATATTCAAAATTATCTCACCGTCACTATGAAAAAATGGTTCGATCAAATGAAAAAAGGAGTCCAGAATGAATTGTATTTTCTGACAGCGCTTGGTTATCTCATTTCTTTACCTCGCTTTCCTTGATAACGATCGCAGGGACCGAGAAGGGGATCAATGCTTTATAGATCGTGAATTTAGTTTTTCATTTCCTTCTTTTATTTATTTTTTTTTTTCGCATGTGTAAATTGGAGGAAAAGGGGAAAAAGGACTCACCAATCATGACGCGCGCTGGCACGGCGTTCCACTCGAGCCAGAAGGTGATGAAGGAGCTCGTCACCAGAATGATCCCCGGGATGAAGACTGTCGTGAAGTAGAAAGCTCGGTCTCGAGTGAAGATCAGATCCACCTTTAGGCAGCTGTAGTTACCTGCGTTTCACAGGAAAGCTCGCTTCATCTTCGAAACCTCCTAATAAGCGAGCTAGTGCGTCCTGAAGCGTTTTATTACTCGGGTAGAACCAGAAGGAGCGAAATGCTCGACTATCTAATTATCTCGCGGTTAATCGTCCGCGATTATCGTATTTGGTAACTTTTAAAAGAAATGGTCGTGAGTGTTAGCTTCCTTTTTAACTCTGGTCTCACGCAACGAAGACTTGCCGACCGGCCTAGATACCGACTCGTAGAATTCGACGACCTTTTTATGAAGAGCCATCGAGATAAAATTCATTATTAAACGTCAATGTCCATTTTGAAGACGAGTCGAATACTCCAAGGTCCAGTCTTCGGTACGTGATGTGCACCTCTCGCGGATCCGCCACGAAAGTGGCACTCGACTGATCGAGTTTACCGCCTCTTTTCAATTCGGAAAGTGAGGTGAACATAGAACACACTTGGGAAAGCACTCGCACCGTGGATCCGTCAGCTTCTACTTCTAGGGTCTAGGATCTACGCATGGGCAGGTTCCTCTTGTCTCCAAAATGCAAATTCCTCTCGGCGCTTCCGCACGCTTCCATCCACGAATAGCAAGCATGATCAATGTCCTGACTCCGTGAGCAGGAGCGGAACAAGTAACTAGGTCATACCTCTTTGCGTTCCAGAGGTGACAGATGCATGTAGATTAAATGCGAGACTCGAAATCTGTCCAACCTGGGGAGAGCTTTTTAAAAGTTACCTAACGTCCCCGTGAATATTCGGCAGGAACGAGCATCGCTGGAGCTGCGTTACCATTCCCAACATTTTCGGCTAGAAAGTTAACCTTTAAACGCTGCATCGCGTAAATTGGCAAATGATGTGCTCAAAGTGCGCTTCGGTATCTTCTTTCGACTCGAATTCCAAATAAAAGCTTCCATCGCGTTAAGATACGCCACAAGGTGGACAATAGTTAATAAGATTCGCCTTGAAGAAACCGAACGTTCCAATACTCTGACCTCATCGAATCCATAACAACGCGTTAATAAATCTCTGAATCTACGCAGATTAATTTGGTCCTTTTTCTTTTTGGTACAAATTACGCATCAATACTTTCGTGGCTCTTTTGGACAACAAAACACATTTAAAGACGACATACAAGTTCCATACGCGAGCAGTAGCGATTACAGAGGGTGTTATCATACAAGGGACCAGTTAACACTTAGGGGTACAATCCAGCAAGGGTTAAACACGGGACTCCAGAAAAGGTCTCCATGGGGGGCGACATACAGTAATCGGGTTTCTTAAGGAGGACAGGCTCCTTCAAGACGAATCGAGCGAGCATTGATATCTAAATCCACGAACTCTCGTATAAGCAACACCCAAGCGAAAAGGGGATGGGCAGATCTCGCGCGTTGTCAAGCTTGGTCCTGTCTCTCTTTTCCCCTGAGGATCCTCCCGTGCAACGTGACACGCGAGCTCACAGGATTTTACCTTGTTCCTCAAACCTGCGCTGGCACAGCGAGCACTTAGAGTCCCCGAATTCATCGAACTCGTCCTCGTAGTCGACGATCAGCTGTCCGTCAGCTGGAACAGAACAGCCTCGATCTGCCCACCGCTTCCTGTCGATCCGAGAATCGAGTTCCCCTCTACTTTTCCACGCGTTCTCTCTCTCTCTATCTTGCCTCTCTTGGTTCTCTTGCCTACTACTCGATAGCCGAACCTTGCACCAGTTACGCTAATTACACCGCACACACGTCGCACTAATTAGACCAGCCGCGTCAGCCTACCACCGTGGTCGGTTCCGTCGAAATTGGAAGGTATCAAGACCAGATAAAGTGTAAAGTAAATCGATCATCCTGCGACTGACAATTCCGACTCCTGATGGATCGATCATCTAATCAGGATTAAAGAAAGAAAAAGGAAAGAAAATCCGATATCGTGGCGACAACCTTCCACTCGTCAGGACGATCAGCGAATGTTGAAGACACCGATTCGAGGATTCATCGCGAGCTTGTCTAACGATCTATGGCGGTTTTGGACAACTTTCTAGATCCCTGGATGAGGATTCGACTGATTTCCACTTTACTCGATCTTTCGGGTCCCAGGTTGATATCAAGGAGCGGATTCCGACGCGAGCCCCACCACGGCGGGACGGCTGAAAAGCGAGACAGGAACCAAGATTGCCAATGTAGGTAACTAGGCAGTACGCTAATGCAAACCTTCTATCACTAGAACGAAATCTTTCAACTACTGCGGCACATGCACGTCTCCCAGAGGGTGCTCCGAGGGGACCCACACCCTTGCCGACACTACACGCACGCAAATACGAACACGTGCTCACGCCTACTGGCTTCGTGCATGGAGCGGGTGAATGATTAACGCTATGTCGTGTCTGTTAACACTACTCGGAGGGCCCCTCGACCGACCCGCTGTATATTCCGCGAGGAAGACGCGCGGCCTTGACCCTGGCCACGGCCTTGACCTCGCCCTCGCCCACGGCCGCGACCCTGACCTCGTCCACGGCCAGAGAAGACGCGACGAGGGCGCGGGGTCGCGAGTTTCTCAAAGGAACCGCGCAATCGACTCGATTGCCCTCTCGATCGATTAAAGACTTCAGAGAAATGTGCAAGTGGGGAACGGCTAGGTTTGCGGTGCTGGTGTTCCCGGGAGAACGAGGTAGCTGAAGTTTTCGTGGCTCTGGGTGCTGAAGTCGGATTTCCGTTGGCTTCTTTTCCATTTTTAGGGGGATTTTTCCTCTGGGTGGAGGACTTCATGGGGACTCTTTCAGAGACTCGGAGAGGTGTTATGCCGGGAGGTGGTGAATGCTTTAATAGGGCACTCTTTTTATTGCCCTTTATGAAGTAGTTTCGCTTTCTGAAGCACTGCGCGTGGAAACTGAAGGCGCGAGGTTAGATGATTCGATTGTGCAGCTTTCTGGACTGCAGCCACGGTTTGTGTCGAAAGAACTCGGAGTTAAGGTCAGGCTGTTTGGTGGTCGTTTTTTAACTGTGCTGTTTTATTGCATGTACTCGTGGGTGTAACGAGGGGAGAGTCACGCGATGCGTTTATTTAATTTTTCGCTGCATTTTCTTTTGTGTCGATGCTTATTAAATAGCACTCCGTTATTCTATGTATGTTTATGTACATAGATTTATACCGCAGTATAGTCGAGCTGAAGAGGGATGTCCAAGAAACTCATTCTCAAAAGGCACTGAACTTCGAATGCACTCGAGTCGAAGGAAGAGGATGAAAAGACGTCGAGTGAGAGCTATTTAACGGGTGTACGAAACTTCAGCTACGTCAAAGCTTCTCAAGACTTTACTTTGCTGATTTAATCGGTGGATTGCGAGGTGGTTAGGAGTGCCGTGCGGTGCTGAGTGCGATTAATAAGAATCAGGGTGCTTGAGATCGGTAGAATTAATAACACGCAACGTATACGTGCTGATGGTGGCTGATATGGTGGAAACGAGACCGAACTTCCGTAATCGGTTCACCCCTAAGATGGCTTGAAGTTTGTCGGACAATGTCTCCGTGATTGCCAACTCGAGTTGCCAGATCGTCCGTATTGATTTAACTCCTTGAATTAAGTAATTGCATTACACTTTGGAAAACTCACGCCTGATACGAGAGAAGAGATTCATCTGGTAGAGAGAGCGTTGCGATACACCGGGCACCTTCCATTTAAACCAGGATAACGTTAATGAATATCCATTTCATTATTGGACCATTTAATTATCGTAAGCTAACGTCCTAGTCTATTCTAACGTTAACAACTAAAGTAAGGAACGGTAACTCGAAATCTTGGGCAAGCAAAGTATTCATCTCCACCGCAAAATGCATTACCTACGAGAGGTTCAGCCAAGTTGAGGATGGATCGATTTTGGAAATTCAGCTGAAAACGAAACAGAGATTTTCGGATAAGGTTACTGGGGACACTCGGGGGTTTCGGATGCTTGGAAGCAAACTTACCTGATGGCGTGGCCTATACAAATCAAATTCTACCTCCGGACAGAAATGGATATCACGAAAGTGGGAATTCGTTGCATCCCAACTTACAAATTAATCACCGAACTCAAACCCAAAGAAAACTAATTGACCACCGGGGAACCGAATTTAAATTAATTCTCCCAGCGTCTTCGCGACTTTTCGAAGTAACTTCCGAACGGACATTTCTTTCGTCCCCTGCCACGACGAAAAGTTCCTTGTTTCTCTGCAATTCTCCACCGAATTAACGAAAGTTGTACACAATTTTTAACTTATCGTGGAGTATACGCCTATCACGGATTTTTTTACGAGGACAGAGACTCGGTGCATCGCGAATTGATGCATTCGTCCTGGCGTAAAATGAAAAAAGCACTGCATCGATTACCCGCCTCGTTAAACCGGTACAAAACGGACAAACGAATTTTTATCGGCCATACCATTCCATTTAATGACGACAGCAACGTGTAATCGCCGACAACTGGGATTCAATATCATTCCATTTTTCCTCCGACTGCATTGGAACTAATAAAGTCGCGTCTACGCGAAACTCTGGAATTTAACCGCACTTCAGAAACGTAACCGCATACTTTAAATATGTCGTTGGAACTCAAAGGAATCACCCATGCCGTAATAATGGATAAAAAAAGGTTTTACTTCGATAATCGACCTGATTGGAGCAAACTGGAATTGCTGATTCCGTTCAGATCTAACATAACTTTTAGACGAGTCCAGAGGAACTGTAGGGGAGGGCCAAGGAAACGTGATGAACAGGCAGATTCGATATCAGAAATTGGACGAATAAAAATCCGAGAAACACGAGAAGCTCTCACCCCGCCAGCTCGCCTTGATAGGACAGGTGATTGTCTGGTTCTGAATGAGATACGCGTTCAAGGTGGTCAGACTGGGACTCTTCCGCAACGTGTCCTCGTCGTTCTTCCACACATACGTGATAGCAGTTTGCTCGTACGATACTGAAAGGCAGATTTCGATAGTTGAATGTCAAAGAAAAAAATAAAATAGACGACGGGACTATTAACGTTCCATTATTAGTAACGGCGACTACGAACGAAAACTAAAGAAGCGTCTTCGCCATCGGCACAAGAAGTCATCCAAAATGGTCCCTCGATTTGCTTCAAGGATGGTCCCGAAAATTAAGATTGAAAACTAGGAACTCCAGTTAATCGTGTCATACCCGTAACACGGATATTTCAAGTAGACAAGTAAGGAGAAATTAATATTTTCCGCGGGAAATCATTCCAAAGGATCCGCGCGCGAGTCCTTCGAGGCGTCACCAGCGATACTCCAGAAACTCCAACAATCCTCGAAGTCTGGAATGCAATTTCTACTCACTGCTCTCGATAGCGAATGAACACAGTGGGTCGTCGAATGGGAATATGTTGAGTCTACCCTGGCAAGACAGGATGAGGTGGCGCCTGGAACAAACGACGCGATTCAGACATTATCAAGAGTGGGATATCGTAAATATCACTTCCGCCTTCCTTCCGCAGCCTCCTCCAGATGAGAAGGAACGTGATCGAGAAGCGGAAGCGACTCTCGGCACTGAATTAAGACCTCCACCGAGTCACTCGATATTTATTTTCCAGTTCGAGCTTCGTGCTCCGCGATTGCCTTTTCTCCGTTGCAGCAGCGCGAGCCTCGCCGCTCTCGAGAGTCTCCGCCTAGTTCCACGCCGGAATACGAAATGAGCAAATGATCTACAACGTGAACTCCTCGACACAAAGCTTCCACCCTCCACCATAGATTCTTTTAGTAATCGTAGAAATCAAATTTAAAAATCGGAGCACGGCCGCCACGTGCATTGGAAGTAAAACTTCGACACTGAAGAAAATTATTTCATATTATTAATTGCTCGCGGCATTATTAATAATATAATCACGGAATGCCGTCGCAAGTTCCCTGCTATGGTAGTTTAAGGCACATTTATTCCTATTTTTTATTTGTATCAATTCCAGTTCACTATAAATGTCAATTAACCGAGAGAATAACGAAACTGACACTAATGATTCGTTTGTACAGATCGTGTTAATACTGAAATCTGAATGCACATAGTAATTAAATAGTAAATAATAAGTAAACTACACGTTAAGAAAAGTGTTATAAGATTCACTTCGAGAAGAAATGGATTTTAAATTCACGAATCTTGTGTACCGTGGCGTAAAGTTTACTGGGCCGTGTCTTTTGTTCTCTGCAGGCTCTGGAAGTTCCAGACTTTCCCGCGACTTTAAATTCACATAATACATGTATAAGGCTATATGTTAACATGAAATCCTTACCGCATGAGGTAGTTGACGGTGCCGTTGCGGTAGATGCGCAGAGCGAAGTGAACGGGTATGAGGGGATCTTTGAAGTCTCCGTGCATGATGAAGTACGTGTCCGGTAGCCAGATGTCGTTGTGATGATGGATCGCGTTAAGAAATTCGTAACGCGATCTGTTGCTGTACCGCAGCCTGGGATCGTACCACTGCTGCTGCAGGAGGAACTCGACTTCATATTTCTGAAAATGAGACAAAAAGACTGAAGAGACGAGGAAGGCTCTTCAGGGACATTTTCGCCTCCTTGAAGCGAAATGGCACGTCGCTTCGGCTCCGTTTTCCCGATTTCAAGAGATCGTCTCATTTCGGAAATGATTGGGGCCAATTTTTTCATTTTCTCGTTCGCTATCAGGAGCTGCCGAAGGCGATCGATTTCGAACCTTGATGACGTTTTACGCACATTTCCTAATTGCCCGCTCACCGTCTTCACGTGCAAGCGGTGCAATTACTCGGTGAATATATCCCAGGCCGGAGTGGCTGTTGGTACGCCAGGGATAATTACTTTCTGAATCGACATTCCTCGAGGGCTCTACACCCGAAACATACGTATGTACTCGTAAATCCGCGTTCCCGAGTTAACGCATACCGATTCCGGTGCGTACATAACATGCTTCCATGAGGATACCTATGCAGGAAATAATGGGTTCACCAGAGATAGGCCTGTTTACTCCATGCTTCGAATCTGAAATATAGGTGGCCTAATCCTGAACGAAACCCAGTAAAACGATCACGAGCTGTGAATGTACTTGATTGTCTTAATTATTCGGAAATTTGAGATCTAGTAGACACTTGATTTGCAAGGAATGCGACATTTTTTAATCTTCGATTGCCTACGCAATTATTGGTAATCTGAATTATTGGCAGTCCATCGATTGACGTAAATGTTAATGACTGACATGTATGAATACTCCTGATTACGCAAAACATGTCATTTCATTTTGCAATTCAGTCGCGAAGTCAACTTCGATGAAGTATGACATATTTGTTATATTGCCGCGAAACCTTTAGATATTTATTTTTTATGTTTACGTGTGAGGAATTAAATAATTTTGCGTCTTGCCGTATGTATATATGTATTAATTACCAAGCTAGATTCATCGGGTGAAGCCAGACTCAACAGCAACACACTCACGTTGACAGTCAAGGTTCCTGAAACAGAGGAAGAGGGTCAAACTTTACAGTCTACTTTGCTTAAGTGACTTCAATGATTTCCAAGCAGGACACGAACGCAACAATTGCCAGTCGCCGGCGACGACCTGAAAACATTCTGAGTAACAATAAATAAGGAACGGAAAGCTACGGCGAAAGATCAAGCATCGTCGACACTTGTCGAAACTCTACGTCAAGTCTACGAAAGTAACGAAGCTCAATTTTCAACAGCTTTCTACAAACGCGACCGATTGAAATGAAAATTCTAAAAAATCTCAGCACGATAATAAGGCTTCGAATATTATACAAAGTGTGTCAATTGCATCTATCCATGCGATCCAGTGGAATTAACAATAATTATATACAATTATAATTAAATTTCCAGGAGAAAATCGAGGTCCATCGGATCGCACGAATGCCTCGATATACTCTACATCTGTACACAGACAAATTGTAACTAATTATTGCGTCTATCAAGACTATTTGCTGGATCTAGCCGAAGCTTCGTCAGTGATCATGCAGCAGCTTGATACTAGTGATAAGCTTGGACCGCACTTAGGACTCCGTTTTGCGCAGTTCATTGAAATTCATACGGAGTCCCAAGCGGGCTCCATTTTTGGTGCAATAACCGTGAATCTAGTCTACGTGAAACCAGTGGAGGATGATTTGACCCCGGAATTGCACTATGCAGTAGATTTTCGCGATTCGGGGAGGACTGTGGTGTAGATGACACGTGGGACATAAGATTAGTTGGTCATTCCGTAGTATGCGGTCGTGTCTTGCCATCTCGTCAGTGTGCATGTAGTTGGATGGGTCATGGATGACTCGGTGAACGTTGTCGAGATGCAATGAGAGGAATGAGCGAAATCAATGAATTTCTTCAAGTTCCCCTACCCTGACACGCCGCCTTCCGCTACATGGAGACTCGACACGGGTATATTAAATCTACGCGACAAATCGAGCTTCTTAGCAATTAGATCAGTCATCGATATTTTTCTCCGCACGAGAAAAAGTGCCTTTTACCGTATCTGGGGAGGATTTCAATTATCCATGTAATTTGCTTAAATAAATCGACCGCGTCCATTGTCTTTCTGGGCGCGACGCGATATCGGGCATTGCTCCTCCTGCACGACTATCGATTACATTATCACCGCATGCATGTGTACATGTAGTTTGATGGGCCATGGATGACTCGGTGAACGTTGTCGAGATGCAATGAGAGGAATGAGCGAAATCAATAAATTTCTTCAAGTTCCCCTACCCTGACACGCCGCCTTAGATGTCCGATCATCAAATGTGTCCGCTACATGGAGACTCGACACGGGTATATTAAATCTACGCGACAAATCGAGCTTCTTAGCATTTAGATAAGTCGTCGATATTTTTCTCCGCACGAGAAAAGGTGCCTTTTACCGTATCTGGGGAGGATTTCAATTATCCGGGTAATTTGCTTAAATAAATCGACCGCGTTCATTGTCTTTCTCGGCGCGACGCGATATCGGGAATTGCTCCTCCTAAACGACTATTGATTCGGCGCACCAAAACCGACGGTTTACCTGGAGTGCACTTCTAAGTAGTATATACCTTCATTATCACCGACGTAGATAAAGTGAGTCTAACCTAATGCGGAAATATTGCCTTCGGAGACCTCTCGTGTACCGCTCCGTTTACCGGGCACCTCTTACAAACTGTACTTTAACATCTCAAGTTGCACCTGTCGTGCAACCCATATGCAATATATACACGGCACCGGCTAATTCGATCGCAACTATCTAACGGCAAAAATAGTGACACCACCAACCGGTTAAGGTCGCTCGTATGTACGTAACAAGTAAGCAAGGATCGATGAATGGAGCACGAAAGGGTTGGGCCACGCTACCTTGATAAGCCCGATATTGCCGTTAAGCACGTCATCTTGCTTGTGCAACAATTCTCAGCATTTTCGAGCTTGCCGCTCATTGTTGAACTTGGAATCGCGACGCGACAGGTGGCCATCTCGCGACAACTTTTTCCGACCACGACGACGAGGTACACTGGTCTGACAATTAATAAATGGGATTTTTATTGAAAGAATAAAGATAAAAAAAAAGTATATTGGAGAAATGTGATAAGAAGAATTGGAAGAATTCCTAAACAATTCGAGGGTTACTTGATCTTGGCATGGTATCGTTGCAAAATCGATACTTCGCCATCGAATCAGCTCGCGTTTTCTTGTCTTCATTTTCCTTTGATACTGATGAGCTTGAAGGTGTGACTTGATGAAGAATGCGAGGAATTGCTCTTAAATGGGGCGAATCGCATTGTGAAGTTTGGGTTGAAGATGTTACTAGCCGCGAGTGAACGATCGCTTATATCTAGGGTCCCTGTCGATGATAACGAGAGGTCGATGATGATCGACACCACAAACCGAAGTTCACTTCAAATTATCATGAGATAATAATAATTGCTTCCCTTGCCGCTCTCGTGGGCGAAGAATAAAGTAAGATAATCAGGATAGGCGAGGTCAGTAACTCACTGCAAACAGGTCGTAAACATAACAGCCGGGATGAACAAAGTTAATGAAACTCGTGAGAAGTCTTGCGAGGCGTTACTCGACGTTCGTTAAGCGAAGCTGCCTCTCTTTTTAAAAACCGCATTTATTACCTGGGAATTCATTACCGCGTGTTACTTCGAAATGGCGAACGAAGGCCATGGGGGATTAACCCAGAATCATGCGAAAGCCAATTAACAACCTGACGCCATTAGCACTACCCCGGATAGTTTTCGTTAAATTAACTCGCTTAAAAATGTATTTGGCTCGAAACTCTACCGAGTTTCTTGATACCGGCTGAATTACACCGTTGAAAACATTTTGATACTTAGAATGGAGAACTGGAGAAATGCGCTACATTTCAGTGAACGCCATTTCTACGCGAGAATTCGTACAATATTATTCATCATTTTGAAAGAAACAGTCAAATGAGAAAAGATATTAAATGTTAATAAATGTAACATGACGCACTTCTCTTAAAATACATATCGTTACGTACGTGTACGTGATCGAAAATTAGTATACAACGGATTTCGAAAACTACCCATAAACACGTAACCTCTAAAATTCATAAACTCGTTTACTAGAATCCCAAACACGATTGTGTAAAAAATGTTGAAATATTGTACTTTGCAAGAGCTTCGACGTGCATATTATATTTTTAACGGTGTAGATCTTTCAGTGAATTATCTCACTCCATGAATGATCTTACTCCGTACATTATCTTATCTCCGTACATTATCTTACTCTACCCTGGGGTTCCCCGAGACTCCGAGATGGAGATGACGTCGCATGATCGCGCATAGAAATCTCGATGACTAGGGGTCGAAGATGGGGATGATCAGCCACATCTAGAGCCATTCGCATCGCAAGACACGGTTCCGGGGAACCGCGGAAAAGTAACGAGGAACAGAGGGGAAACAACGAGACAGTGACACACCGCAACGCGGATGGTTCCGCGCGTGTTAAGTGTAAGTGACGTGTACCGGGGCAGAGGTCGGACGCGACGTACATCCTCGCGTGTCGGGCAGAAAATGGGGAGAAACGAAGGAAAGCAAGAAGGAGGTGAAAAAAAAAACAACGAAAAGGACACGAGCATCCTCCGGAAAACCGGTGCCGGTTTCCCCGCAAAGTGCGCCGTCCTCGGGGGATCGATCGACCTCTTGACCCCGCACCACGGATGTACAGTTCGCTCAGGATCCAAGCTGTCCGACGCGAAGTATCATTAATAAATCACCAAGTCGATAACATCCATCCGAGTTGATACAATATCGAGGCCATCGAGGCCCAAAAGAAAACTTCACGGAGAGTCCACTCATGAAACTACGATAGCAAAGCATCCGTAAGAGGTCACTCGAGGTCCAGCTGATCGCAAGAGTGATTTCGCTCTTGAACGAGATTCATGAATGGGTGATACTCCTCATCCCGCCGAATGCACTTCGAACGGTATTCTTCGCAGAAGGCGGGTTCATGATCATGAAATCATCTCCTGAAATAGATCCTTCCTGATAAAGGAGAACCGAAGATAGCGAATCGAAAGAAGCTGCCTCCAGACAATGTGTACCGAATTACGAGTTTCCACCTGTGTACTTGTCGTACCTTTAATTGGTTAGGAAAGGAGGGTTCAAGGTACCCTATCTTCCAGGTCGCCATGGCCGAAACCAACAGGTGCAGGGGATCTATCGAACGATCGTGCAGGGAAATCAACTTGCTAAATGGAAATATAAATTCTGATGCGACTCGGCGCTGGTATAAAGCTGGGAACACCGTTCTCAGGCTGTTCGGGGGAGGAAATGGCCGGACGAAGTCTCTGGTGGGCCTAGACTAGTTCGATATATCGAAAGGTCGACTTCGAGCAGGCAGCCTGGCACCCGTGCGAACTGGGCCGCGACTCGCTGTGAACGGTGTGAACACCGCGGCAGGTTCGGGCAGAGTTTTAGGTTAGAAAGTAGCTTTGGGACGGACCGCGAAGGTGAGTGCGGAGGTGTTGGTGCGGCGTGTAGTGGTAATTGTTCTGGTTCTGGTTCTGCTCGGGGTCGGTCGCCGACTGGTTTGTCAGTCTGACATCGGTGGGCCGTTGCATTCCGCAGCAGAAATCCGCATCTGTAACACCGAAGAGGCCTTGGCCACCTGTGTTCCCGACCACCCGCCGCGTCTTCGGCCGCCATTTTGGTTCACGCGCCGCCCTTGCTCCGAGCTGCGACCACCGACTTTCAAAATCACTCTAGGACTGCACACTCGAGGTCCAAGTGTCAAAATTTCCTAAATTACGCTTTCCGTACAATTACGCTAAGCGTAATGTCTCGGGTACAGCGACAACTGATATCTATAATATGGACATCAAAATTCTACATACCAATCGTACTACCGTTGAAGCGAGTTGAAAGTGATTCTGCAGATTATTGCAGAAAAATAGAAAATTATAACAAAAATTATACATTCGTAATGGTTACACTACTGAACATTTTTG